AGTTAGGCGAGGTCCAGGGCGCAGCGACCCAGCCCGCGGGGAGCGCGGCCTTGGGTTTAAGCATCGCCGCTTCCGGCTCGGTGTCCTGGGACCGCTGGTTTAACCTTTCCACATCCCTGTTTACTCGCTTGTGAAAGGGGCGATAAGGACCTTGTGGGGATTAAGGCGCTTGTTAGTAGTATCACCTGAGTTCAAATCCTGGCTCTGCCACCTACTGCGTGGCCTTGAGCAACCCATGGAAATCGGGGCCTCCGTGTGCGCGTCGTGAAAGCGGGAGCGATTTTAACCCTAGTCCCCCCAGACGTGAGGTCGGTCGGGAAGGCTGAGCGCCCAGATGCTCGGGGACGCGCCTGGCCGGGCAAGGGCTCTGGGGTGGCAGTGGTTACTGCCCCTGACACTGTTACTCCGATCTTCCCCCGAACTGTGGGCTGGAGCGCCTCGGAACCTTTTCCTTCCCCTTGGACAAAGGTGCAGGGAGAGCCCCCGCTGGGAGGTGTGGTCCCCACGGGATTAGCTTTTAAAGCTCAAGCTGTCTCCTGAAGTGACGTCTCCGACAGCAGCGTGAAAATAATCGAGTTTCTCCGTGTCCACGCCGCACATGGGGTGGCCAGTACTTCTCAGTTCAGTCATTCCGATGGGTCTCGCTGGCTCTGATTTATATTTTCCTCATGCCTAAGGATGTTTCATATCTTTTCCTGCCCGCATTTGCCTTCTGCGTGTCTTCCTGGGTGACCTCTCTCCTGTTGTCGTTTGCCTGTTTTCTAATTGGCTTATTTGCTGGTAGTTTTCAGGCTTCTTCATATATTCTAGATGCCCAACAGTCCTCTGTCGACTGCATGGCTTGCAAATAGTCCTCTCAGACTGGAGCCTGTCTTTTCATCCTCTCCACAGACTTCCCAGAGCAAACATTTTAATTCTGAAGTTCTCGCAGCGAAATTTCCCTTTGGACCACGCCTTCACATAACCTTGTGTACCAGAATTTTTCACATTTTTTTCTAGAACTTTCATAACTCTGCAACTTGCACCTGTTCAACAATAACTTTCCATTACCCCATCTTCCAGCCCCTGGTAGCCTCGTTCTATTTTCTGGCTCTATGAATTTGACTGACCTTATTATAAATGGAATCATAGAATCTCTGTCCTTTTGTGACTGGCTTATTTCACTTAATGTGTCTTCAAGGATCATCCATGTTGTATCTTGTATGAGAATTTCTTTCCTTTTAAGGCTGAATAGGATTCCATTGTATGCATAGGCCATATTTTCTTTATCCATTCATTTCCTGATAGACATTAAGTTGTTTTCACCTTTCGGCAAATGTGAATCATGCTGCTATGAACATGGGTGTGTGAATATGCCCGAGTCTCTGCCTACTGGAAGTGGAACTGACGGGTCATATTATATTTCAATGTTTAAAGTTTATTTTTATATCTTTATTTATATATTTAGGAATGGCCATACCACTTTCCACCGACAACCCACCATTTTACATTCCATTCCATTTACATTACAGAGCACAAGGGCTCCAATTTCACCACCACCTCATCAACACTCACTGTCTATTTTTCTTCATAATTACCATATAATTACCAAAGGGTATGACATGATATCTCATTGTGTTTTTGATGTTCATTTCCCTAATAGTTATTGATGCTGAACATCTAGTCATGTGCTTATTGGCCATCTATATAGCTTCTTTGGAAAAAAGTCCTTTGCACCATTTGTATTGTTTGTTTTTGTTGTTTATATGGCATATATATATATATATATATACACACACATCTTATTATCTATATCACATATATATATATAGATAGGTAGATCTTATCATATACATAACTTACTATAGCCTACTAGTACTGTCTACTAGTATAACTAATATAGTCTACTAGTTTTGTTTTGTTTTGTTTGTTTGTTTGTTTTTGTACTGAGAATCCAACTCAGGACTTTTCACTTGCCAGGCAGGCAAAGCACCACTG